GTTTCTTTCTTCTCGTGTCACTTCCTGCGTCGCGGTGACTCACGTGAATCACCAGCCAGGAAGACGAAACGGGGAAAGTGTTCGAAAGGGACGACCGCAATCTGCTAGAGGCTAAATTCGAATCGGTTACTTTGTAGTTTTCTGGTTGCACAGAAACGAAACCGAAAGAAATCCGTGAAATGTAACATCTGGTCGAACGGGGGGTGCCGCCCCCCCCTTTGTTTCTTTACGATTATGTATACGCATATCTGTGGCTGTGATCGCTCTTGAAAATAATATTTTCTGAAATATTATCTCGAATGACATGTTATTTTATCCGGCAGCGTCGGTATATAGAAACAATTGTTTGAGACAGTCGTGAAACTCTTCTTCCCGGCGACTGAGTTGCAATACCGATCCGACTATGTTAAATGGTTATCCGATAACGAGGAGCATTTTTCTGAGGAATAACACCCGTCTGTCAGTTTCTGCGTCCGTCGAACCATTTACTTTCCTTCGCGATAACGTTAGATGAAGCCGGAGAAAAATCTGCGAACGCGTCGAACGACGAAAATCGACGGTAAAAATTCCTACAAAATCGAGGTAATTTAATTTGCTGAGACGGAAATTGAAAAATTAAAATTGATCACAGTGAATGATATGCAATTGACTGTTTTGCAATTGATCAATTGAACAATTCTCGTTCAAATGGCAATAATTAGATACCCTTTAGAGTATTAAGCATTATTTTATTATTATTAAGTATTACATTATTATTTATTATATTATTATTTATTATTAAGGATTATATATATATTATTATATTATTATTTATTATTAGTATTAAGTAATTAAAATAACTGGACAAAGATCTAAAGTTCAGACCTCTTTGTCCAGTTATTTTAATTAAACGCGTCTTCGAAAGAACGGCTACCGATTGAATGCGGTTGATAATGAATCGTAGAAACGGCTGTGTATTGAAAAATTAAAATTTCGTGTGGTTTATTATGGGAGGCTTAGACTGTGTGCCAGGGCAAACAATCACCAATGAGGTTGCCATTCATAGTTGGCTTTGTGAGCTGATTAAGGTCTAAAGTCTTCGATCATAATAAAGCAATTATGTATCGGTGCAAGCCCCCATAGATACATAGAACATATGCGACAGAGGTCGTGCGGCGTCTATGTCTGTGAGAAACGCTTCTATATTTTTAGAACAGTTACAATGTAACCGAGTCGCGGCTGGATTACTCTATCCACTGTTCGAAGTACGCGTTACATTGTTTTATTGTTCGCACTAATGTATGAACTAAATGCATCGGGTCTACACACAATTGCAACTTAAATGTTAATATGCCTTCAGAATAATTGAATAATACATGCCTGGAAAGTGCCATTAGAATTTCATTCACTTTCCACTGGATATTCAATCAGGTGTATCTAATTTAAAAAAAAAAAAAGAAAAAATAAAGAAACAGTAGATTGCAGAGGCGTCTGCAGAGTTCAATCGAAACGACGATAAGAGCGAATACCAATTACTATATTCGAGCATTAAAAAAAAAGCAAGCCGAGGTTTCTTGAAAACCAGGCATAACCTAACCTGCTAGTCAGGAAAGATAAACGTGCTCGTCAACAGTATTTATCTGTTAAAGACTCGATCCACGTATAAATAAGATAAACGATTTAATGGCAGCAACGGTGGACAATTAACGACCAGCGATTAATCATGAAATATAGATATTCTGCATCCCTGTCGAACGTTCTACCGCATATTTTCGAAATAATGAGCACGACGAATCCGCGTTCGCGAAACTTATAAATAATCGATCAAATGAAATGTTACACGGATGGCCGACTCTGATGCATCAGGTTAATTCTTCGTGTCCTATTTTGACACAAATCCCGGGCATATCTCAAACAACATTGTTCGCAATCTCATTTCAAACATGTTATTCTATTTCATATTTATCTCGATGCCTGCGATCGCTTCTGAAATATTATTTTGTTTTGTAATTATTGGAAACGTTATTCTATTTCATAATTATATTAATTATATATTATATATATATTAATTGTATATTATATTATATATATTATATATTATATTAATTATAGGCGAAATGTTTCCTGGAAATTGTATTAACATTTCTGCAGAATAAAAAGACCGATCCGACTGTGAAAACAAAAAATACCCTACCTGAAAGCAAATCGCTGCAAACATTTCTACAGATAAAATCTTTCCGAAGCAAATCGACGCATGGGTTCCTTACAAAGAAACTGACAAAGGATTTTCACCCAATAAGCTTTAGTTTCTAACAAAGGATTTTGGCCGATAAACGCTAACTAAATGGTAATAATACGCTCGATTCTGTTTTCACACGATCTAGAAAATTTGCTTCGTACACGATCTCACTTCAAGGACAATTATTTACGTTAGTCGTAATTTTCTAGACAGACATATATATGCACACGATGAAAAATAATTTAACCATGCACCGTGCACGATGTCTTTTTCTTACACGGTCTTGCCCTGGAACGTGTATCCACCGTGTAAAGACAGAATATCGCGTTGGAAAATAATAAAAACAAATTCACCGTTTCGCCAAACGACTCGTGCACCGTTCCTCGGAGCCGGTGTGCGCCAGCAGGTTTTCGCGCGAACGTACCCTCGACTTTATCTACACCGTCCGATAACTCGATCTGTCGAGATAATCGAACCTAACCTGTACGGGGAACCAGGTACCTCGCGCGAAGGTGTTCAGAGAGGACACCATTTGACACGAGAAACCGGCGTGCTCCGGATAGACACAACAGACCGATTCCGAATGCTAGATAGAACGACGATCTGTTGGCCCAGCTGGCGGCGATTGTTCGGCCGCGACGGACTTCGTTCGAAGAAGTCCGCGGCGGTTCGAATCGAGAAAAGAAAGAGTGCTCCGCACGGGCACCGCCTGAGAAAAACGCGCGGGCGGCCACCGTGTGCATGATTTCCGGCGGCGTTCGCCTGGCGTGCCACGCCACAAAGAGGGCTCACGCACGCGGGGGGTTGCGGACGGAGTGTGTCTTTTTTTAGAAACCGCGTATCCCTATAGAGACACGTCCGATCTTTCTCGGCTTACCTCGAGCGTCTTCGAAATGTTCCCCGAATCCGTTCGGCGTCCTCGGTGTCTGTCGGTATCCTCTTCCCTAACGGCCCTCTGTGTCGCACTATTTCCGTCTCTCCCTTTCTTCCTCGCGCACTCCTTCGTTCACTATCCGTGAACGAAGTCTTCCCTTCTCTCTCTCTCGCGCGCGCCGTCCCCTCTCCGTCCCTGTCCCTCTTTCGTCGTCCTTGTCCACGGGCCACCGTATCCCAATCTACCGAGATTCGACGGCCGATTACTCGTTTCCTACTTCTCTGTTCTCGGTTCGTCGTCCCTCCGGCCTGTCGGACACATCGAATAGCCAAGGGGAGGATAGATCCGCGGGACGGTGGCGAAGTGTGGCCTCGGTCGTGCACGGACAACAGGGGACCGAAAGTATCCACCACGAACGTGTCACTGGCCGAGAAATTCCGCACTAGCCGAGAGCCGAGAGAGTCTCGCGCGGCGCGCCGCGGGTGCACCGAAGCCTCTCCTCGGGGCACGGTCCTCCTCCTTCGCTCGCCTCCGACAGACGATTACTCACTGGCCTAAATCCAGCCGAATCACACCACACCGGACTAACCTCGGTCCCGAGAACGAATCGCTTGATACGATCGGACGATCCACGGATACCTTTATCCCTCGATTTTCGCAGCACTCGCAGCAAAAAACCAGCACCACACCAGCCCACGATTCTACCGTTATCTAGGGCGATGCCTCTCTGGCTAAGAGCCGCTTTGCCCTCTACCCGTGACTACGCAAAACACAGCTGAACAGATGGCGTGCCTGATTCGCACCAGCTAGGTGGCGCCAGCTTCGCGGCGCTCGTCTCGCCTACCGCGACATTCGAACTGTACCCGATTTTACCTCGACCGGGATTCTATCGATTCAAATACGTTGTAATTCTATTTCGTGATTACATTGTGTTTCGGTTACATGGTAGTTCAACCGCGTTATTATTCGATTATGCGACGCGATACAATGTGATTGAAATAGAATTGAATTGAAAGTGTAATGTAGAGTGAAATACAGTTCTTCGAATTACAAGCCAGAACTTCGAAGAATGTGTATTTTCTCCTCTATTTTTACCTATTGATTTATGTATTATCTTTTAATTCATAATTTTCATTCGATTTCTTCTTATTTCGTAATTATCGTTCAATCGCATTGTCATTCGTAATTCTCATTCAGTTACTACATTCTAATTTGTACCATGATCGAACTGCGATCTGTTCCTATAGAAAATGTACACGTGACGCCATCAACGGTAAAATACCAGAACCATAAACTCAGAAAAACGGAAATATCTCTAGATCCGTATTGTCGCACTTAATGTAAACTGATAATATACTGCACAAATAATTTGGTTTACACATGCGTGTGTTTAAAAGAAATCTTCATTTGTAATCAAATTAATGAAATGTACGCGCCGAATGAACTAAATTGGCGGCGCGAACGGACCATAGATCATGTCATAGATAGAGATCCTCTAGGATAGAATCGGACAATGCGACGCCATGTCGAACTAAAGCGAAAGTCACTACAATTGGCGGACAATTCAAATTGCTTTGTATAAACCATTGTCCACTAATCTATGAATCGTTGTTTCCAACTAACGTTGTTAGATTAACAATTGAGAAGGACAAATGTCTAATTTTCAGCTGATATTGTTGAATTGTACAAAAAGACACGAATTACGGTTTCCAAGAGAATAATTTAATTATTGAAATTGAATTAATCGTATGGCAAATTGAAGCAATTGAACGAAGTAATTGTTTCTGTAGCTTTATTTCACAGAAATGAATAAAACTTCGGAAATAATGACGTGTCGTCAAGTTAGACTTCCTTTCTCTGTCGTACTTCCGGTTTAGATAAAAATGTCGGGAGCCAATAAAACACTTGTGCGTGTTGTCCGATCTCCTTCCTAGAGGATCCCTAACCATAGATAATGACATGAGGAAGGTCACTTTTATTAAACCATTTTCGAAAGCAGTTTTGCAATCTATAATACCGTTATGGTGTAAGACAAAGCGGATGTTAATCAGGCAGACTTATCGGTCACAGGTCGCAGTTATCGTTATCATGGTTTAATCGGAATTTTTTCCGCGGCCATCGAGGTCGATGATGTACCAATTAAGTTCAACGGTGTGCCATAATTATGTATATAATCGATTAGAAGATATGTGCGCTCGATGCAGAAAACGCATCTTCTTCGGTCCAGTGACCGAAGGATATTTGGCGAACGAGGAAATGTGCTGTTAGTCACCGATTGATTTAGCTTAGCAAAACTATGTAAGAACCGAGTGTCTTATGTCATCAATCTCCTGTTCACGTGTGTAATATCATCGATTATCGAGTGCGGGGCATGTGGCGGTAGCTTTAAAAACGGGCACCGCAGTGCGTACCGCACTGATATCGTCAAAATTCTGAGCAAATGGGAATAAAGGAAATATCAGATTGTCGTTAACTTCCCCCAGGATGGAAATTCTTTGTTAGACACTCTAAGGACACGATATTCGGAATGGAAGTTGTTTGGAAAAGCATTAAATTCAAATATATCTTTGCTTGTATTTTGATTACATTTGTCATTTCCTGCTTGATAAGCATTGCTCCAATAAGCATAGGTAACTCTTTTACTACCTTGATTATTGATTTTAATACTTTTAAAAAATGGCAGATCTATCTTTGTAATTTCAGATGAATGCAAGTGTGAAATACCTACACAACAGAGTCACTATAATAATCATAAACAGATAAACAATGGTGATAAAGGTCATAGGAAATCATCGCATCGTTTGGCAATACTTGTGCCATTCAGAGATCGTTTTGAAGAACTTCTAATATTTGCTCCACACATGAAAAAGTTTTTAGATAAACAAAATATAGATTATCACATATTTATACTCAATCAGGTAGCCTTTCATTTCTGTATCATTAGGAATATATATTGAAGGCAATTGGTTGATAAGAATAATAATGTTTTGATTTCTCCAGGTTGATAGGTTTAGATTCAATAGGGCCTCTCTTATAAATGTAGGCTTCCTTGAAGTTAACAAGGAGTTCGACTATATAGCTATGCATGATGTAGATTTATTGCCTGTAAACGATGAATTGTTATACTCTTTCCCTACCAAGGGGCCTTATCATGTATCTTCTCCAGAATTACATCCTAGATACCATTATTCAACCTTTGTTGGAGGCATATTACTTATTAAAAGGTGCTTATAATAACATCTAACACTTCATATAGAACTGAACATAATAATAATAATAATAATAATAATAATAATGAAATACTTTGCAGAGAACATTTTATACAAGTAAATGGAATGTCTAATAAGTACTGGGGCTGGGGTCTCGAAGATGATGAGTTCTACGTTAGATTAAAAGAAGCTGGTTTACTAGTCTCAAGACCACAAAATGTATCTACTGGAACACACAATACATTCAAGTAAGCTAAATCACGTAAATTACTGAAATATTGCCAATGTGTATATTCACATCATTGTATTATAAAAACAATAATTGTTACAGACACATTCACGATAGAAATCACAGGAAAAGAGACATGATCAAATGCTATGATCAACGAGAAGTTACTCGGAAACGGGATCGCCAGACTGGCTTAAAAAATGTCTCATATAAGTTATTGAGTACAATTAAGATGACTATCGGGGACACTCCATTAACCGTCCTTAATATTTCTCTAATGTGTGATAAGCTGAGTACACCATGGTGTGAATGTGATAAGGTAATGGGCTCTAAAGACGGTAAATCGAAGGAGAAGAAAAAGGTCAATAATAATAAGTCTGCCACTGGATTGTAACTGTACCAACGAGAACTGTATGGAGAAATATATATGTATATAATTAAATGTATCTTCTTCCCAGTTATTATTATTCATTGCTCTACTATTCTAATCAGCTTCAAATCAAGAACATATTTGCAGTATATCCCTTCAAGTAAATTAATTGATTATATTGAATGTTCCACTTTGTTCTCAAAGGCATTTAGGTGGGACACATTCTACATTCTTATGTACACTGATAGAATACTGTTGTGTACTGTCTGAGATGATTTTTTATATTACACATATTAATGTTTATACATATATTTACATTTTCCGAGACAGCATGAAATGGTATTGTACAATAAATATAATTAAGTGCACAATGGATATTGTACAATGATAGAAGGAAGTCTATCTAAATATTCATGATTTTACTATTTCCTAATTCTAAAATGGTAAAAAAGACGGCTATTCTTAAACGATAGTACCACGGCTACATAACTGCATTTAATTGCAGAATGAAATGTTCTCTCAGTTCGTTTGTACTAAAGTCGTCACCGTCATTGTTCTCCTCGAAAATATCTTGTACCGTTCCTGTCACAGTTTCTGCACCATCTAATTCACTTGTTTTAGCGGTCGAGTCAGGAGCTTGTGCATCTTTTCCGTCTACTTCAGATTCATCGTTTCCGTCTTGCGCATCTTCCGTTTTGATACTTAGCTTTGGAGTAGAACTCTTAGCTCTTTCTCCATCACTTTTATTTTGATCTGTGGCGTCCTCGTTAAGAATTCCTTTCCTTAAAGCTGGCAGTGGCGGTAGAGGGAACCCATAAGAAATCAATTTATCATAGCCGATTCTTCCGCAGTTCTTTCTGATATCCGCTGCCATGACTAAAGCCTTCTCCGTGAATTCTTGTCTGGAACTGTCGATCAACATCTCATTAAACTTGGTCATCTTCTCATCCAAAAGTTTTCTCCTTCTCATTATGGTCTGCATATTCAACATCTTCCTCCTATACGTATTCGTGTTCTTCTCAGCTCTTTCAAGATACTTGGAAGCCTTCTCCAGTTTCCAATTAAGTTCCTTTATTCGATTATCCTTCTGCCTGATCTGGCCCTCGAGCTTCCTCTTCTGCTGTGATTCCAATATCACAGTCTTCATCAACTTCTTATTCATTTCCTCAAAATAATTTACCCTGTTTGACAAATCTTCTATCAATCTTTGTTTGGACTCCAAAACCTTCTTCGTTAGAGCCGGAGACTGCGTTGTATTGCTTGATCTTGTAAAAACTTTAGGCCCTGATTCGGGGTCTTTACTTTGACCATCCTGACCGATGTTTTTATTCCTCATATTGTTTTCCGTCTCTTTATAAACGATTAATTGATCGATTAACTTTCCAATTACGTTTTCTTGTATCTGTATTCTCTCTAAAAGTTCATCACAGTCTGAAGTAACAGATTTATCGTTCTTCTCTTGAGAAGCTTGATTAATGGGTGTAGAACTCTGTAATGGGATCTTGATCTGACTTTTATTTTCTTCCTCGGAACAGGCGTTTCTGAAATTCAAAGACTGAGGTTTTTTAGGACTATGTGTAAAATCTAAACACGAAGATTCTCTCGCATCGCAGGGTGAATGATCTAGAATTGACTCGTTTTTGCTTGTATCCATAAAGTCCTCTTTTCTTATAGGGCTACCCAAATTGCTGTACGGTATCTCTGTGGAATTTTTAGGTGACAATACCGTTATTACGGATGTAACGAATGCGTTATTTTCTTCATTCTTGTAAAGAGGGCCGAACTTCTGTGTCTCTAATGTATTAGATGATAATTCTTCCATAATTTCATTTACATCATCAGGATCACCAGTTACTTTGATAACAAATCTAACAGTTTCTACATCCATATCGTTTCTCTTATTCATATTCTTCAGTTCTCGCGAGAATACAGACGATTCGTTCCTTGCATCTGTGTCTGACAATTCGGTATTGCTTGAAGAATTAACATCTGCATCGGATGTGCTCCTAATGGATTTCTTTATTGATTTCATTATCTCTTCTCTGGTTCTCCTCTTCCGTTTCATGGCAGCTCTTATATTTGGTATAACATGTACTTCGTCTTTAGTGAAGTTTTCTTCTATGTCTTCATTAAACACTTTCTTTTCATACTTAACTGTAATTTCTTCATTATTCGGTGCAATGTTATCGTTTAATTTATCCGATTTTGGTATTGCTTGAGGCATTTTCTCGTCTTCGCTTTCTATGCCAAAAATTATTTCAACATTTTCTTCTTTCTCCGTGAGAGCATGCTCAACTTTGTTTTTTGTTGAAAAACTAGGACTCTCATGTACAGATGCATCTACCTTGTGTTCATCGTTCTTTTGGTCACAACATAGATGTATTATTTCTGCATCTTCATCTTCTTTCTGGCTCTTAGTTTTCTGCTTATTCTTGTAGTTCTCATCTTCTGTAGAACCACCACCATCGCAAATCTGTTTCAATTTCTCCTCAATCTCGTCATAACTATCCCCAAATGTGTTCGGATCTATAACTTCAAGCTTTATCTCTTTCTTCACTGCAGTGCTTGACAATGTACACTCTGAGTTATTATCATTTATTTTTGCTTCAATAGTATCTTCTTTTACTGCATCAATGATGTCTGTAAGATTATCCTCAGCAATCATGATTGTGCTCTTTTTATTAATTTCAGTTTTAATATATTTCTTTTGTTCTTCTATGGGCTTGGAAACATACTTCAGTGTATTCTCAATGGACTGTATAGATAGTTCACAGACATCTTGGGAATCGGAGTCCTTCTCTTCTAAATGTCCTGTGGATGAATGCTCGGTGTCAGCTTCCATGTATTCCACGCTACATTCGCTTTGTGACAAGTTCTCTTCCTTAATGATCGTCTTCTTCTTGGGTGATTTTCTGGTGGATGTTACAGTGAATATGGAAGGGACAGCGTTCTTCCTTAATTTAATCCTCCCAGTCTGCGTAATAGACCATTCCTGGGGCTCAAAATGTACGTGACAGAGAAAGGAATTATTCGATGGCTCCCAATCAGCTCTGGCTACGCGTTCCTGCCAAACTTTCCTGAGTTTTGGATCACGTGGAAAACATTTCATAATATATCCCTTCTCACTACGATTATTGCAGCCGACTGCTGCACAACCTGGCATATTTATACATCCAGACACTATATTGGAATCTGTAAATAAATTTTAGGTAATCTCTCTACTTTCAGAAACTTAACCCTACTTAAGGTAAGTGCATTCCTGTATGATGCGAAAAAAAAACGCAATCGAAAATTAACTGTAAAAAATACGCAATATCAAATAATACTTTAATCCACTATATAGAATGTACCTATACCAGCGTAGCAAATAAAAAAAAAAGAATAATAAAAATGATCTTTATGCGTACATTACAAAAAAAAGAAGAAAAGAAAAGAGTGTAAAGCTCAATGAAATATAGAAGCGCATTTAGATATATTTATTTCTTGTAAATCGAACCTTTGTTCCTGCGCCCATACGGCTGTATGGGAGTTAAAAAAAGATTGGAAACGATTAGCGTACTGTATGCAAAACATTGTAAAAACTGTGCTTGTGCAACCTGCACGATATGTTGCACGCGCGCGTTCTATCAGCGAATAATTGAAACCGCTCTTCAAATACTTTGCTCGATTGTCGATCAAGAGAAACAATATCTTTCTCACACCGTAGTCTGGTCCAATCGACAGCGTGCGATGTGAAAGAAGCCGAAACTCGCTCACCTCTCAGCCATCGGCTTTACTCGGAGTCCATTCTCGCAAATTGGAGCTCCGAAATTTACGAGTGCGTTATTCATTGACGGCAATTCAAATTCTATTTCCCAACGAACTTTATCGTGACCATTGAATTTGAAAGATACGAGAACTCAAAAACACACTACCGTAACAATTTGCTCCACCACTGACAATAGCACACGCGTTTCGAGATAAATTTCGAGTTCTCTGCGTATGTAATCGACTTATCTATTTCGGTATAATATGGCCGCCCTCAGGGTCGAGCATAGGTTAACTTCTCTGTTTTTTAATTACCCATCGTTAACTGTTTCTTATTAACATTATTGTTCTTTTTGTTATTCAGTTCACGTTAAATACCATTACCTTAAATGTTGTTCACAAACGAACCTTGCGTTTTATTTTCAATAACTTAAGTTTTGTACACTTTGTACAGGGTGATCCGTATAGTTCGGTTATGTATAGGGTGTGTGATTTTACTCGACCACAATGAAAATTTTATGTACAATATGTACATATAAATGTACATATGTATAGTACATATGTATGTATGTATTTTCTATAAAAATGAAAAAATATTATTTCAGTTAATAGGTTTAATGTACAATTTGTTCTTTATGGTTTTTAACCGGTTAATATCTAAATGGCAGCTACCTGTTTTATAGATAACGGCGAGTACGCAATAAACGACTTGTAGTTCTCGTATAATTCAAAATGGTTCTGCCAGAACATGTACATATGTGAGTTAATACATACATATGTAGCTCAGATCTCTTGACGTTTGAATCACAAATAAATATGGTACCGAGCAGCATGTAGCTTCGTACGTACGATATGTCTGTCATAAGTTCGGCCTACATTATGAAAATGTCGCTCGTTCAAAATTTCATTTGTAAGAAGTGAAGAATGAATCGATTGTAATATATTTTAGCAGAAATGACATCATTAAGCAACGTATTGAAAGCCATAGAGGCTTTAAAAACAACTCATGAATCGAACGTTCTTCTGTCAGATTCGAGCGCAAGGTATAGCAAATTTTTCTTTCCGAATGTTTCATTTAATAACAATCGACACTTTCGATCATCTTCTTTTTACCATTAAAGAAAAGACAAGATAGCATGTTGCGTGACCATAGCAGAAGGGATGTGTTCACCAAGTGTCAAATTGACAGCCAAATTTCCTCAAGTTCTTAGTCTTTCAATTGAAACGTTATTATTATTGTGCAATGACGATGAATCCAATGTCAGGATGATAGCAGATGAAACTCTGAATAAAATCATACGGGTATGATTCTTATCTATAGTCTGCATTATTCCCTAACAATAGGCGCCAGAAGTTTTAACGGCCTCATTATTTGCTAGGCAATGACTGACAGCAATATTGTCAAAGTTCAAATAGAACTCTATAATGAGATTAAAAGGAATGGACCAGCTAGGACATTAAGAGCTGCTCTTTGGAGATTTGGGCATCTTAGTCACATGATACGTCCTACAAGAGGGAAAGCATACGTCTCTAATCTAATACCTTGCATAGTAGCTATTGCTCATCGGTCTGAGGAAGCTGTAATCGAAACATTGTCTCAGTCATTAGCACTAATTACAAAAGCTTTGGGGCCATTTATGACGGACAATGATGTTAAGGTAACACACGACAAGTTAAATGTCCCTTCCTTGTAACTCTAAATTGATCTGCATTTATATTTTGCAGACTTTACTGAAAGCATTCTTTGAAAACGTGTCTTCAGTACAAGCAGTATTTCGCAGAGCAGCTGCAAACATGATTCTGGCAACTTGCTTAAATTGCAGGAAGCCACAATACTTTTTGAATTATGTATTAAAGCATCTCTTAGGTATTGTGGTACCCATGAATGAGGACACGGGTGGTGTAGCTACTATTATTGGCATCTTTGGTTGTGTCAGAATCATTTTACCACACATAAGCAACCCTACAGAGCTTCAAGATGACGAAATTACGGAGATAGATAGCTTGCTACAAATCTATGAACTATGTTTGCATTACGCGAAATGGCATTCCGATCATAACGTTATAAACGCAGCTTTAGAAACTTTGACGCAGCTTTTGAAGTCACCGCCGAGAGCTCTAGTATCTTTATTGTTATCGAATCAAGGAATAACGTCTAGTAGAATAGCATTGAATCAAAATGATGCAATGCTGTCGCTGAGTCAAATGAGTATCTCGAGCGCTAACACTGCTTGCGGACAAAATTCGGAATCCACCTTGAATTTGCTCGATTCGGAAATGCCGGAAATAAATCCAGAGATAGAAAAGTGGATATTGGACTCTGAGACTGCGCCCACGTTGGCGAAGAGTGCACAAACTCAGAAGGAATGCTCCAGCGATATTATAGAAATGAAAGGAAAGGAATTGGACTATGGTAGTTTGAAAATAGGTGCTATAGACAGTAAGGGACTTTCATTAGTTCAACGTGCACATTTGTTCGGCACTCCTTTTACAATATCTATTTCAGACGATGCTATAGAAGAGGGTAGTGACGTTGGCAGCGAGTTAGGAAAGTCAGAGAAGATCTCTTCGTTGACACAGAATGAAATAAAAGAGCAGGATTGCCTGGAGGAGATTGCATCGTCTATTTCTACACCTAAGAAGCTTTCCTTGGATTTCTCGCTAAAGGAGATAGACATTGGAACGTTTACCGATGCTGACATGCCTCTGAAATTCTGCTGTCGTTATTTGGTATCCTCTTTTCTGTTAACCGGCACCGCTGGCCATGTGATGCCAGACAAGTACTTTCGCGTTAGCGTGAAATCGCTTGCTCTGAACTGCCTCGCATATATTTTGAAGCTCTGCCCGAATTTGCTATTGATGCCTGTCGCCAAAGAACCGGGTCATGCCGAGAATGAACAAGCAATAACAGACATCTTATTATTTGCAAATCATTCAGATCCTCAGATTAGGGGGAACATCTCCATGATCATTGGTACCTTCTTAAAGTCCGTGTTTACGCAGCACGGTGGATCCTTTAAAAATTTTGAGACAGAGTGCGCGAAAATGAGATTGAACGGGACCGTGTCCTTAGAGAATTTAGTGAAGTTGCTTCTAGAGGTAAAATATACTTGCTACTTTAAACGTCGACTATTTCCAGAGAACCGATCTATGCTTTTTGAAATAGGGATTAGAGGACGATTCTGCAACGACGTGTCGGCAAACGCTAATGGCGCTTAGTCTGTGTCTGCCAGAATTGTTAGAATCCGTCGACAATCATTATGGAGTTACCGTCCTAACTGCATTACCTCAACTAGTAAAGAATCCATATTTTTTGGTGAAAGTGAAATTAGTAGAACTATTGAGTGAGATATCGTACGTTACCATAGAACACATAACTGGGGGATCGATGTTTCGAGAACATTTCATGAACGTCATCATGACGCTGTTAGGCGATCAGGACCAAAGGATTAGACACGCTGCGGCGGATGCTATTGTGAAGTAAGATTCTCCGAAACTGATCCAATGCACATAATCGTTTGACCCTCCGCTAACGTCACTTATTCCAGGAGCATTCCACTGCTATATTTTCAACAACCTCATGAGGATGCTGTCACGAGAAGAGCTGTGCAGTACACCGAACAATATCTGAGCGCTGTGAGCGCGAGCAGTTTGGAGCTGTCGTCCTGCCAAGAGAAGCAGAAGTTGTACGTGAAGACGACGATACAGCCATTCGCGTCTTTAAATTTTCGTAATGGGACACAGTATCATCCAAATGTAGAGTATTCTCTGTCCATTATAGTGAATATGTTAGCAGAAATCCTCGGGGTACAGTCGTCTAAGTACTTAGTATACGGTTGCTGCGAGGCTCTATTCCACTTAAGCGATGTGTACACCGTCACTGTCTATATTAGAGGATGGGACTGCATTCTGCCAAAAACGTTGCTGAAGAAGTCTTATAAGAAGAACGGTAGCCGGCTGGATATCAGCGAATTGAGTTTCACCAGCGATGTTATGCCGTCTTCTGTCAGTGATAGTCTCCTGTCTCTAGCTCTACCGTTGCTCTCCTCTTCCCCCATCAGTCTAGACCTATCTACGCACCGACATTTGATTCTACTTGCTGGCAACCTGGCTTCGGGTCTAGCCTTTTGCAATTTTAAACCGCACGACCCCTCTAAGAACTCGAGTACAACTATTAGGGACAAACAGATAGAGCTATTGCTGACGCATGTTACCAGAGTATTGAACATATACGTTCACATCATTGACGAGGTGCAATTGTTGCAACCGAGTGCTAAAACGACACTGACGACCTTGGCGTCCACGCAAACGTTGTCCCCGAAGAAGAAAACGGTAGGCGAGCAGAAGTCGAAGGAGAAAGGGGAGCGGTTCGTTAAACTGAGATTCGGTAAAGAACAGATAGGCGCCTTTGCTTCTGTGCCCCATTACATGAAGATGTACAACATCCTGAAGGCGGCGCACTCCAACTACTTGGTCACCTTGGAATCTGACGCCAGCGAGATGTACGTGTCGTTGTTAAACGCGGTGCTAGATGTTCTATCTCAGATTCTTGAAATAATCTCCTACTGCGAAGGAGCTAAGATCACGGAGGAGATTCTGTATTACCTGCAAACCACTGTCGTTCTTTCGCCAACGTCGACTGTTCAATGCGTACAGCAGCTGCTTAAATGTCTCAGCAGCACGAACGTCTATGCACAGTGGAATGAAACAGAGGGCCAAAGGAATATAGATAGAATTGCTATACTAAGGGACGATATTAAAGGGTTCTATAATCACTGCTTCCAAAATCCTGCCAGGCAAATGGCGGACACTATTAAATCTATGGGGAACAATTGCAGGGGCGAAAATGAACTTGATGCAGGGTGAGTATACTGACTTATCAACAAGAGAAGATCCAAACCATGTATATATGTTTATATATATCTGTTTCTTTCTCATCGTTTAGGTGGGTAGGATTATTGCGTAGAGAAGGATATAGAAAACTGTTTTCAAGTTACAAGAACTTCTCCATAGGCTCATTCATTCGCCTCTTCGAACCCATGGTAATCAAATCTTTGAAGCAATACACGGTGACGACCAGCGTGCCATTGCAGTGCCAAGTTTTAATGTTGCTCAGTCAGTTGATGCAGCTGTGGGTGAATTACTGTCTGTTGGACTCCGAGAGAATATTTATAGGGTTCGTGCTAAAGCAGTTCGAGTTCATCGAGGAGGGCCACGTGCAACGAACGGAGAACCTTCTACCAAAGATATTCAACTTTTTGGTGCATCTGTCCTACGAGAAGAATCACTGTACAGCGATCATAGGAGTCCCAAAAATCATTCAACTGTGCGACGGTTTATTGGCTAGCGGTCAGCCAGCTCTCACGCATTGCATACCGGCTTTAACACCAGTCGTGGAGGACGTATTCTTAATCAGAAACGCGAGCTCCAACCCGATCGAGCAGAGAGAACTGGAGACGACAAGGGAAGTATTGATCTCGATGCTTTTACGTCTTGCGGAGTATTATCAGATCATCGAGTTGTTGGCGTTATGCCTGACAGAATCTAGATTTAGCGGCGATGGGAACGGCGAGGAGAAATGGAGGAGATGGTCCAGACTGACGATGGACACTGTCTTACCGATGCTGACTGCTGGTAAAATTCGGATAGAATCGGAGCGTGCTCACGTGGCTCTGGTGAAGCTATTCGCTGCGATATCGCCTACGGTCTTCCGGCCAGTCGATCCTCTATTGAAAGTCTTGCTGGTCGCGCCGGAAGATACCCTGGACGCGTCCATGGTGAAGTTGAAACGATGGCTGGGAATGATCAACGTTGTTCTACTATCGTTGATTTCGTGCGCGAAGGAAGAATCCATGTTGGCGAGGCTGTCTGATTTAAACATGAACATGACGGATCTCATGCAATCATTCCTCCTGCCAGATTCGTGTCAGACAGTTGACCCTCTACACGTTTTGGGGATACAGCCTACCGACGTTCCTCCCGAGAGGGTGCTCGCTAGGTTCATCTTCAAGGTGATCAGCTGGGTCGGCGCCAAGGTGTACAGTTTCTTAGGCCTCGTTGACCACGAAGCAAACGACCCGTTCGTTCCGTTCGCCGAGTCTTTGGACAGCGATCGTTACTTGCTCCAACAGTTCGCATTCTTTCTGCAGTTGTGTATCCACATGTTCGAATCCGGCAGTCACTGCAAGGTAGCTAACGCCACCATGCAGATGATTCAAGGTCGCGGCGTGCCCGACGAAGAGAAGCTACCGATAGCCGATCTGAACCGTTTGATGCTGAGCATTGGGAACAGATGTCCTGTGCTAACGTGCCAGTGGGCCTACCTGATGACCCTGTTAGGCTACAATGAGATGTCCTTCTGGTCGAAGGTGTTGGGCACACATCAGCAGCCTCTTGCCGAAGAGAAGAAAACCGAACGGCCCAGCAACATCAACATCCACATTATCAAAAAAGGCGGCAACATCCTGTTTTGCGACTATGTATGCGAAAATCTAAGCGACGCCGAGCCGCTGACATGGTTGTTGGTTAACCACACCGAGGACACAGTGAACAACGGCACCGAGAGCCCTGTCAGAGATTTGCTGACAGCAGCTGTACACAGGAATCCAGCTGCCAGCGGGCTGCTCGTGCAGGCGATCGCTACCAAGTGCACGAACCTGTCGCAACCCAGCTTTGTCAAGCGTCTTTTGCAATGTATGGAGGGTGCTCATCACTCGCAAAGTGGGGCGGTGCTGATGACCTTGATACCGAGATTCTTGTCAACCAAGTACCTCGCGCTGTCCAGAATGGCGGCGAAGATAGCCAGCAGAAGAGTCGAGATCCTCCTGACCACTGCAACCGCGGATGTAATAAACCAACTGGCAAAGGAAGATTTCATCAAGATCATGGACACTCTGCAAGCGACGAAGCTCGCCAAGAAGCACGGACCCCTGATCAGTTTACTAAATAAACTGGGTGTACAATACTATGATTTGTCTCCGCTGGAGTTGGATCAATGCAGACCGTTCAATCCGTCCACGGTGAAGAGCATCCAACTTGATCGCGGCTGGTTTCTGTCGCAGGTGAAGCTGCGTTGTTGCAACTCGTATGCCGGTTACAGTCCTTCCGAGGCTGCTCAATTGCTGAAAGACTTGGACTTCGACGACTGTCTGGACATCCTTTCTTGCAAGGAATTCAACATCTCGATCTTGAAACCGTGCATAGTACTCGGCACCCGTACAACTATCGAGAAGTGTCAGAGGCTGGAGCTGAATGCAGCGCAAAACCGGAAGGAGGTCGACTTCGAGGCGAGCCCGTTGTACAAAGCTGCGAAGCAATGTCTGTTGGAGCACGTCCGCAGAGTCACCGATCTGATGCCGAAGCCTCATCACATCTACAACCCCGGGCAACCGAGCGCGAACTCGAAGGAGCACAAGTATGCGGTACGGTTGGACGAACTGTTGTCCGAGACCGTGTATTGGGACATACTCTTCATGCTGATCCCGGCCGTGAAGATGTACGTGAAGACGCTGCCAAAGCTGGCCAGATACAACTTGTCGAAGACGGAATTAAAGTCGGAGGAGGACCTGGCCAAGTTTTCGGTGCTGTGTCTAGAGCTGACGCATTGGATGATTCACTGGGACGAGAAGCAAACGAGGAAGCTGAGGCCGAGGGACATGGAACTGGCCTTGAGCTGTGCTTCGGAGATCTTGAAACAGCCCGTTCCGTGCAAAATCATTGGCGACAGCGCGAGGTACTCGTGGGTCTGTAGCGCCACAGCCTCCCTGGCGAGAGTCGTCGAACATTTGCTAACGACGATTGACTCTTTGCCGGTTATAGATACTCGGGCTTTACTGCCAGCCCTCGAGGACGAGGATACCAAAGAGTTCGCGCAAGCTTGCACGCGAATGGCAGCGTTGGTCGCCTGGCTGGAACAGTACCAGAAGGAGGGCGCCTCGAAGAGCATTCCACAGTACCTCTTCGATACGATAGAGGACTTGATAGTGAGCATCAGCCGGCAGCCGTTGGTCAACTCCTACATCCTGACACCACCGTTAGTTTGGAAGCAGCATTGGGACGTGGTTGGCGGAGGGCCAACCAAATGCTACTTCCCGCTAATGTCGTCGGAGTCGAATTTGTTGCTGGAGGTGGAGATCCTCGAGCAGTTTATTTACAGGATCAATCTGCTAGGTTGGATCTCCCGGCTGCAATTCGAGGAGATCTGGATGGCTCTTCTGAGCGTGTTGAATCTTGCTCAGAACGAGGCCGTCGTCTCCGACGAGATTCCCACGTTGATACAAGCAAGCAGCCTGGCCGTACAAGCGATCACCAGGCTGTTGTTGCAGACCCTGTATCTTCCATACCCTGGCCATCCCAGGGCTAGCACTCTGATACATCATCCGAGGGATCCTCAGCTCGCCGTTACCAAAGTCAGCTCGCAGAAGCTGTTCGCGATCCAGGATATGCTCGCGTGGAGGTACGAGTGCATGAACGATTCCGAGACTTCAGGAGGATTGAGAATGGACCACGTGTTCCATCGGGGGAACGTGGAGAGAACAGCCAATTCGAACACTTACGCCTACAGTCAGCTCTCTGTATCCTATCTGTGGGCCCTATGCAATCTGTACGAAGATAAATTGAACGCCTCCGTTCTGAACTTGAAGAACAGAAGGAACGACGCGCTGATGTCTTCGTCATTGGACTTGGACTCCTGTCTGCGCTTTCTGGTGGAGCTCTACACGTCTTGGACCTCGCCGCAGTTCAACACGCCTGTGCAGCTGTTGACCGAGACCGTGAAATCCATTTTAGCGATTTCTGAACTGTTTATCGAAAGAAGCCAGTACCAGTGGATGCTGGACACATGCCTGGAAATCTCAAGGGTCCATCCTACAGAAAACGTGATCCTGCATCAATATCTAATCATGTCTGTCTGCAAGGCTTCGGCTGTCTTAACGCCGCTGGTGCGTTCTTCAAGTTCGATTCTTACGCAATGAAGCGTCCTCGAGACTTTTCTAATCTTGCCCTACATTCCAGGATTTCGAGACGCTGGACAAAGTGAAGCGTCAAGTGGACACTAATCTCAAATCCGGTTTCCTGCCAGCGAGAGTGGCCGCTCTTCATGGCGCACTGTACTTGTTGCAGAGCGCCGTGTTGACAAACTGCGAGGAAATGATGAACATTATAAACCCTCTGGCGATAGAGTATATTCAGAAACACTTTGACGCACAGGATTCCTACAGGTAGTATCATCGGGTCACTACTAGCTTTCTAATAGAGAATATCAAATGCTGACTTGGATCTTTGTTCTAGCGTATTGAGTCAAAGCGAGGAGCATCAAGGTGTAATGTGGGCCCTGGTATTTTTCCTACTGGAGCACGTGGAGGATACACCGCCGGATGCCGAAGTCCCTGCCGTTTTGGAACGGGTTCTAATTCTGCTAAATTCTCAGAACATCTCCTCCAGTTTACACCAGACTCTCCTGCAGGTGTGCTGACCTCAGCTCAAGTCATTACAGAGTATTAATCCAATGACTTGTAACTAATAGAAGGTTGAAATCGACAGGGCTTGGAACGACTAGTGGTCACCAAGAGCGTGATAGGGAAAGTGGTCGAGCAAATTGTTAAGGTCGCTATAGATCGGATGAAGCAGCCCAGCCCCATGCTGTCGCTACCAGCCTTGCAGCTGCTGTTGACCTGCATGTACACGGAAGCGTCCGACAGACTGAATCAACCGGAAATCGAGGAGCCATTGCCGGACTTGGAACCGGAAGCTTTGGTGCGTTCCATAGAACGTACCTCGGCGATTTTCGACAAGATTAGGAGAGGACACACCATGGAGGTGGAGCTGCTCTGCGCGGTTCTATCCGCCGTTCTAGGGGACTTCTTCCCGCCGTCTGAAATCCTGACCAAAGTTATAGGGGAATTCCTGTCACCGCAGCAGCCTCACCCAAGATTACTTTCTGCTGTAGTATTCAAAGTTTGTGTCTCAATGTGTATTCTAACTCCCATGCGGTGTTTAGCTGTTTACAATTAAGTGTAACTGAAATGTGTGTCGCAGGTGTGCGAGAGAGCCTGCACCTCGGCCCAGATGGAGCTACTCCAGGACTGGGTAGTGTTCAGTTTGCCAAATTTTATTCAGAGTCTGCCAGTGACTATGTCGATCTGGTGCCTGTCCTGTTTCTTCATTAGTTCGTCCACGAATCGATGGCTTAGAGCCATGTATCCTTTCGCAATCGAAAGAATCGTCTAACCGTCTTAAACGATTCTTTATCTTCCTTAACGCACCGTTCAGATTCCCCTACGTTCAGTCGAGAATCGGCAAATACGAGTACGAGGACAAGAAGATACTCTGCATTGCCGCGTCTGATTTTTATCACAAGGTACAGGCTCGTCGACGCGACTTTTGGTAATCGTGCGTTCATCGTTTTTATTATTTTCTTTTTTTTTCTTTTAGTTGACCAAGGACACACAGAGGCAAGCGTTCGTGGAGACGTTCGAGGCGGCAGCGAAGGAGCCGGGGGCTCCTTTCGGCGACATTTTAGCGTCGTTTTAGCTAGTCTTGTTAATTATCGCGGTGCGTGAGAGAGAGCTGGAAATCAAAATATCGGGAGGCACTCGTGGGAGACGGTGAACTGTTCGGTCTCCTTGTAAATTGATGTACAATCATGGTGCGGACGCCAACGTGTCGCATGTGTACAGTTGTATGTATGTGATGATATTTATTTTACATCGTGTTCTCTGTCGGGAAGAAGCAACTTGTTTTCAAATAAACGATATTTTTTAAGGAACCCACCCCCTCCGCCCTAAACTCCGAGGAAACTTTTCTTCTTCCTCTGGCTCGCCCGTCTCGCGTAAAAGCATGCGTGCACCGACATGAAGTAGATTATTTCCACGAAGGATAACACGCTGGCGCCCAGGAGCAATCCCGCAGCTCCGCCGACGCTGCCTAAGATAGAACATCCTTTAGTTGATTCCCTCGCGATTGGATCAAGTACTTACTTAAAAAATCGCTGAAGCCGTACAACAGCGATCGGTGGAAGATCTGGGTCGGAAAATGGACCTCCATTACGATGGACGACGAGACACCGCTGATTGTAACGCCAGTATCTCTGAAACGATTAAGCGGCATCAGTTTAGAGCACCTGTTAACACCGTCGGACAGATAAGCTCCAGCAAGTCCGATACATTTGGCTTATTTTGGTATCCGCGATCGAGTACTCGTAGCTGTCGCAGCTCGGAATGCATTTGCAATATGTTGGCGGGCTGCTGAACAGAAACAGCTTCTCTTTGATGCTTCCGATGCAACGCAGTTGCGCGGAGTTGCATGTCTCGACTCCGTCTGAAAGTAGAGATCGGGCCCCTCTCAGTGCCAATACGGACCACAGCTGAACCGCTCTCGAACGATGCCCTACGAACCTACGGGCCTGGCGAAGTGCGGCCGACACTTGCATAGCTGTTGAATCGTTCGCATTCTGCACTCCATCATGCACATGTTCTTCGAGTAGATCGGCCAGGTTCGCAGACCACCGTCGCTGGTGAACTTGCAGCGTCTTTGATGCACCTGCAGCTCTTGCACGTTCGACAACGTCTTGATCAGCGATATCATCATGACCGGACGTTGCGCTGTGTTCGGCCTCATCCAATTGGTCGGTATGTCGTAGATCAGGATCTCGTTAGGGTCCACCATGGCGATCTAAGTAGCAAAGGAAAAACGTTCAACGGAAGGATCTAAGGGTGGACTTTAAGGAATTTCATTGGACACAGTAGAAATCTAGCAAACGTTCGAACGTTACCAGCGCTTCGGCATTTATGGTGAACGTTTCCGACGACCCGTCGTCGTTTATGTCGAAGGTCAGTACTTCCGCTTCCGGGACGACGGTCCAATTGTTGCTCATCCAGTATCTCGGGACCACGAGAAACGAAACGACGAAATAAGAGGGCAGACTTAACGAAATTTTCTATGTAATTTATAATGTGATCTCCGGTGTCTGGTGTCCAATACTCACTCGTAGGTGGAATACACCGCGACTGGGTTCCTGTTCACCGAACACAAGCCTCTTTCCGTGATGACTAGACCCTCGTAAGAGTCGGGTTCCTTCAAGGCTTGCGGAGGAATGTCCTTGCGTATCTCGTGAAGGATCTTCAGCCACTTCTTCGGCGGCACCTGCTCGAAATCCGGTGTCTTGTGCATGTTCTCGTAGTTCACGTTCGCCAGGAAGGTGAAGAACTTCTCTGCTTCCGGTGTGTACTCGATGCTGTTACTGCAGAGATTCTAATATGTTTTATGGTGTTATTAATTACGGCGTTAATTCGCCATGATAATATGGTATTGCAATGATATATGCAATAATGTGGTACATGCGATAATATGGTGTTACGTTAAGTTTCCGTTTGGCTATCGTTAACGATATTATTAGGTTGACAAGGATGAAATTTGTAGTTAATAATATTGCCAACTTCAACAATTTATTATTTGACATTGGCTTAATATTTTACCGTTCTGTTTTTTTTTATTGGGAAGTTACAAATCTCGCTTGTTTAAAGAAATTATTTTAAGCTCTAAAAAATATTGAAAACTTTTTTAAAAATTAATTTTGTTGAAAACGGAACGGCCGAAAATTCGCACTATTATGAAGTACGAGTTCTTACGTGGAACTACGAAATAGACGCGTGAAACATTAATAGCGTATTTGGCTCTAGTGTAACTAAACAGCAGTTAGTATCAAATTGGTCGTTATGATTTTATGAAACCTGGCTCACCGATCACAGCAGAAATATACTGCAACCAACTGGA